TGTGAAAGACTGGAGAGTGTCACAGGGCGGTCTCCATAACTCCGAGTTGGATCAGTGGGAGGTGATGGATGGATGAATATGTAGAAACACTGAAAACATTACAATAATTAGAAATATAACCCCAAATATTAGAAGGGTTCTCAGGGGCTGACAACAAATGGTCTGCATTTACTGTAGCTCTGACAAAGAGTCTGTGTTACCTTATTTAACCCTAGGACTTTAGTGTTCTTTTTGAACATCTCATAAACAAACACAGAAAGACAAACAACCAAAATCTATAATGTTAAAAGCAAAAAAAGCAAATTTGCGGGGCTGCAAACTACCTCACATAACTTTCCGTGAACCTGTCGCACCGATAGATGAAGTCCGGTTAAAAAAATAAAATAAAAAATTGGAGAACTTTCATATTACAGTAGAGCGAGGGTCATAAAGGACCCCACTCAGTTGCTTTAAGGTTGGGGGAAAAAAATGGAAATGACAAAAATGAAGTGGGAGCAAATGATGAAAATGTGTTGCTTGTTTTTTCAGCACACCAGCTGTCTCTGTGATGCTGTCATAGCTTTGCTGAAGGTGCCGCTGTCTTTCCAGAGATATTTCTTCCAAAAGCTGCAGTCCACCAGCATCAAGGTAACTGTTTTTTGTTGGTTTAAAGAGAAAAGCACAATAATGATATGCATATTCTAAGGCACAGTCACCACAGGCTGTCTTCCCCCAAGCTAGCTGTTTATTGGACTTGGATAATAAGATTGATATCGCTTAGGAGTAGATATGTAGCTAATACAGGGAGACGGCAGGCTCAGCTCAGGACAAAGACTGGAGACGAGGTAAAATCTGCCTGCCAGCACTTCTAAAGCGCACTAATTCACATATTATGTAAAATCACCTCTCTGTGTTTTTATGGGGATTATGTGCTGGACTGTTTCTTGGCTGGGCTTCTTGGAAAGCAGTGCGTCGAGCCAAGAAATAGTCCAGGAAATAGCCCGCTGTAAGAGGAACGCATGAGACGTTTCCACAGTGTCACTTTAGTATTTTAACGTGTACATCTGTTTTGGCCGATAAGGTGGGTGTTCATCAGAGGAAGGAAGACATTCTTCCTTTGGTACTCTGAAGGTTTATGTGTGTTGTGTTTTTTCCAGCTCGCCCTTTCACCATCCCCGCGAACACCGAGCGAGCCAATCCCAGTGCAGAACACTCAGCAGCTGACCTTGAAGGTGGAGGGTGTGGTGCAGCACGGCTCAACTCCGGGACTCTTCAGAAAGATCCAGTCAGTCTGTCTTAATGTTACCTCAGTTCTTCAGAGCAAGACGGGACCTGACTACAAGGTGTGTGGCCTCAGTCAAAGTTTTTTTATGTACTTAGTTTGTATTGACACTTAAACAACTTAGACGTCACAAATCTTATTTTCATTGCCACTTTTACAATTGTTGCGACAGAGTACAATGCTAAACACAGATTTGTAAACTCTCTCTTTGTTGTTTAAATATCATAAAAATAGGTCTCCATGTCCTCATAAAGAGCATGTTATTGGTTCTAAAAGACGAATTTCCCAATCACTATCCAGCCACATATATGTTGCAGGATATAGTTTCCACTATTGTCAATAGTAATAATTACAGATGACTGCGAATGAGTCCCAGTTTAACACAGTCAAGTGGATTTTTGATTTTGTATTTTTAAGTTACACCAGAAACTGAGATTCATCAGAGCAGGCAACTTTTTCCCAGGCTTCTAGAGATTGATTTTGATGAGCCCGTGTGATTTGTAGCTACAGCTTCCTGTTTCTTGTTCTGCAGCTGCAGCCCATTTGCTTCACTGTTGTGCAGTCAGAGATGCTCTTCTGCATGCAAGTCCGACCCCTGACACCTTGCTGCGTATATCCCTGCTCTCTCCTCGCCTCTTTCCTGTCTACTCTGCACTACCCGACTTTCAAATAAAGGCGAAAAGCCCAAAAATACACCTTAACTTTTGATGCTCTGATGCTCAGTTCGAACTCAGAGGTTGTCTTGATGACGTCTGCATGCCTAAATGCATCGAGATGATGCTATCTGGTTGGCTGATTGGATGTTTTCATTACTGAGCAGCAGAACGTGTATCTAACAAAGCAGCTTAATAGACATTAGCGTTGCTGTGAGTAATGAGCTTGTGATTTCTCTGAGGTGCTGTCTAGTTCACTATGTTTAAGAAAGGTCAGCGATCTTCTCAGCTGATCTCTAAAACTGGACAACTCACTGCAACATAGTTTAGATGGATTAAATGGCACAGATTAGACCAGTTTGACCAGTATAAACGTTTTAAACAGTTTTTTTCCCCATTTCAGATTCCACTAGATACTAAAACAAATGAGATCAAGCAGCGTGTGGAGCCCCACAACGACTACTTCAGCACCCAGTTCCTGCTGAATTTCTCCATCCTGGGCACCCACACCGTCACCGTGGAGGCCTCTGTGGTGGATGAGAGCGGCATAGAGTGGAAGACGGGGCCCAAGACGACGGTGTCAGTAAAATCTCTGGAGGACCCGTACTCCCAACAGCTCCGTCACCAGCTGCAGCAAGGCGGAGCTCAGCCCGCGCCACAGAGGAGCACATACACTCGCTTCTAGTAGTGCTTACAGTTTGACCTTCTGCACTTGACCTTGTAGAAATTAAATATGTACATATTTTTTAATGATTAAAATACCAAATTGATTTAAATAATAACTTAGTGTGGGGTTTTTTGGGGGGGGGTTTTTGAACACTTTATTTTTTTTAACTCATCTATTTTATCTATGCTCATCTTTATATCTTTTGCTGTCTGGATAACATGAAAATGCCTAATTTAATGCAGCTTTTTAATTTTTCACATATTCTCAAATAGGATTTCTTGCGTGCAGTAGCCTCTCTGGGATAGTTTAATGCTAAACGTCCTTGGATTTAGCGTCCTACATACATGCAGTTGCACAGACAGCCAACAGGGGGCAGCCCATAGTAATTAACGGAGCATCTTCATTTGAAGACCATTACAATCTGTGCTGTCAGCCTCATATTTATCTAAATGACTGGTCTATAACATCATATTTAACACTTTCTTGATAGTTTAGCGTTTTAAATTTTTACCCCTCAGTTGACTTTCCTGTTATGTTCATCAGCATTTAAGCACCTAAAAGTGAGCTATAATTATTTTAAACTTTTATAATGTTATTAATTTTGCGCTCACAGCGTTCCTAAAATACCATAACGCTGTTTCTATCCTAGAGAAGAAAAGGCAAAGCCTGTTAAAAATAATAATTATAAAATATCCACAACCAAATGTGAGCTTAAAAACTAACTGGAAATGTGCCGAGATGACTTCAGATGTAGTCATAAGATTTTTTTAAATTTATTATTTATTTTTGTGGTCGTAGACTGAAACCAACCATCAGCACTTCGGAGTCTGCGCACTCAGACTACTGGCAGGCGTCAGATGATCAAGCGAGAAGCGCTTAAAAAACAACAACATCCGCTTTTGGTTTTCAAAATCAAAGTGTCTCGATGACCTCATTGTGCAATAGAAATTCAAATTAGTTTCTAGTTCACATTGAACTAGTGTGGCAATGATTACAATATTATTATCATCATTAGTAGTAGTGGTAGTATTGTAGTATATATAACATTATTCCATAATATAGGTAATATTTTATTGAACTATTAAGAGTATTAAAAACAAAAAACAAGAATAAGTAGAGTATGATCACATGACCAGAGCAATAAACATTTAAGAATACAGTTCATATTATAAGTTCAAGATATTTAATTATGGAGAATTAAAAAAAAAAAAGTGTAAAAAATAAAATAAATGTGAAAATTTATTTTATACAAGATCTGGCCAAACAATAAATGTTTAGAAACATTTAATTTTCTTAATACAAGAGC